GAACAGAAAAAGCTACCCCCCCCCCTGGAGAAAAACGCCTCTCCCTCCCTTATCTCTCCCCAATGGCCCAATATGACCCCCGGTTGTGTTTTACAAACGGATAGTGAGCCCTGCCCTCCCCCTTCTCAGCAGCAGATCATATTTTCTACATCTACTCAATAGGATGCAACATGGCTTATGTGAAATGGCGGTGTCAGTGTGCCTTCCCCCGGCTCTGTAAGGACCACTCTCTTGCAACCTACCTGCTACCCTACCAAATCTTACTGTTTTCTCACAAATTCTTATCGACTTACCCCAGGAGATGAAGAAGGGAAGCCACACTCATTGAACGGAAAAATTCAGATTAGGAAAGTTCCTGTCAAGGTGGAATACGATCCCCTACACCAGCGACCACATTCAACCCCCTCTGTTGTGTTTTTCAACGGATGTTGTGTCCTGCCAGATGGGACGGTGGGAATGGGGGGGAGGAGGGGCTTATCAACCTTCACTCAACGATGATTACTTACTTACCTGATTCAGCAGCAAGAAGGTATTAGATAATAATCCGCGGATACCGAAGCATCACTGCCGGTGATAAATCCGGATTCATCTTATAATAATCATTTCAACCCTGTACAAGAGGGGATAACCAGTGCCGTGAGCCCTAGCAATGATCCCTACGGAGGCGTTGGATTTTGAGAAAAGATTGATTAACCTAGATAAAAGCCGACAAGCTCTTCGTATTAGGATTTAATATGCGGAGATTATTTCGAAAGTTATCACACCTGAATAGAATATGTTTCGCACCGCATTGCACACACACAACTGTGTCGATTTCACCGATGTTTATTGAATGGAATCGTATTCCATCACTTTATTGCTTCTATTCAAGTCATTCTATCGTCGCTTTCATTCAATCCCCTACTATCGACACATGAAACCCTTCAATGTTAGTGACTGACTAACTGCCTATTATGGACATTCCCGTATGGGAATTTGCAGCTCCTTCACCTGCATGGGGACTTCACCGACTTCAATGTTCCCCTTTTCGTCCTCCTGGGATCCATTTGGGCGCAGTTCGGCTTAGGGGGGGAGGGGCGGGGCGATAAAGGGGCTTTTAAAATTTCACTACATCCCATTGCATACTCAGTGCTTCACAGAGTTGGCAGGTGTTCTTCAAAGGAGTTGACAACTATCTACAAACCCTGACTGATACCACTTCGTGACTTCACAAGTTTCTGTTCTATCTACTTGATGGCTCGTTACGGCGATGGGAAGTAGCGAAAAAGGAAAATGCCCCCCCCCCCCTTCAAGCCCAACTACGCCTCCAGTTCAACTTCTTCTTTGCAGTTCATGCTGAAAGCGAGCGGCAATTCTCATAACCCTAGGGCTTTCTCGACGATGTGTTGAGAGAGAAGTTCTGTTTTAGTTGTTACGAAGGGGGTCGTACTGGCCTAGCTGACAACTTTTAATTAGAGATTTTGGTGCGACTTGTCTTGGAGGGGGGGGGAACGGTTGGTCGAGAGGATTTCATGTGCAAAGCTGGGATTCCTGCCCCTGAGATGGAGACTACTGCCCAAGCCTAGGAGGCAAATAACTATTATAAATAACTATAAATAGGGTTGGTGAACCAGTTTGAAGGACGGTGCTTCTAGCTGAATGACGTGATTCCTCCTTTAACAGTAGGGGCCCTTTCAGTGTCCCCTTCCTAGATTTTAGCGCCGAAGTCACCATTTCCAGTCAGCTCTCTGGAACAGTGCAAGTCCTACTTTGGATATCCCCAGCGAGGAGGTCGTCCGGCGACTGGAGGGTGAGTGGGGATCGTCTTTTGCAAAAATTTCTTGCAATGGCAGGACTGTCCTACTAGGAGAAACAAGACCTCGCGATCTTCTAGGAAGGGAACACAACCCCTTCGAGTTCCTACTGAACCTATTGACCCATTTAGGTTCACTCTGTCGTCTATTTTCTGGTCATTACTTATACTGCTCATGGATGTTTATGATTCCTTAATGTTTCGAGAATGTCCTTTTCTGAATATTATTAACAAATAAGTAAATAAATCTCTAGTGCGTTCGCTGAATGGAGCTTAATTGGTCGCTTTATGGCTCTGAATAATATTACTTGTATTTAAGGATGAGTATCTTCCTCAACGGAAGTCTCCTCTCTTCCCCTGAGAAATCACAATTCACAGCCACAGCATTGTCTTCATCACCGGATCCAGTCACGGTAGGACTTACTCTTTTTAAAATTGGTCTACATTAAGGAGGGCTGAGGCCATCATCCAGGGAGCCTTCAGGACATTGTCCATATTTACCCGTGGCACGGGATGCCTGATTTTTTCCAATTTTTTTTGCCGCAGGAGATCGTGAAGGGAAGCCTTCTTTGACCTAATTTTTTCACTATTTCATCTCTTCAAAGAGCTGAAAATGGCTTGCAGCTCCTGATTTGCAGACTATCCGTCCGAGCGCTTTTCCTCTCTCTGGTGATCCCGGCGTCCCGTCTACAAACGTCGCAGTTTGGTTTGGGGGAGGGGGACACCGTATGTATTCAGGTAGGCTTGTACAGGCCACCTTGTGAATCAGGGCACGTCCTGCGCTGTGGAAAGTTTTCGGAAAATGCGACTCTCTCACCCACTGAGTCCCTGCTCTCCCCCCCCCCCCTCAGCGACCAAACACGACCCCCTACTGAGGATCTACGTACGACGTGGTTTATTGTGAAAACCTGTCCACACCTGTGACCAAAGTGCCTTGCTCGCGCAATATCGCAGGTTCACAGGAGTTTACACGTCTGACTTGTCGTCAGGTACGAACAAAAGGAATTAATCAAGGTGCCAAATGCCCCCTCCAAGCCGAACAGTGCCCGAATACGCTCTTAAGTAAGGCCCTAGGAAGATGAAGGTCAAAATGTTAGGCCATACTGAACCCATCTACCACACTCGTCTGGCGAAAATAGGGAAAACGTGGCCCAGAAGGTAAACGCCTTCCTCAGGAATCGATAACTGCTCTGCAAACATGGTATGATACTGTGTGGTTATTGCAGAATTTCACATCATCGCAAAGCACGTTCAAAACATCCCGTCAAGGGTCGGAGGATCAATCAGAGAAGAAGAGCGCCTACAGTATCTCGAATATTCTGGAAAAGAAGGAAAATAGCCCAGCAGCAAGGTGCGTTTCAAACTCACTTCCATAGCAATTCAACCTTCTATAAATCCCTTTTATTACCGTAAAATCGACAAAATATGACTGGTAATGATGGTGGTGTGACGCGTTCGGCGTACACCACACGTTCGTAGAAAGCGCTCGCTCTATGCCATTGATTTTGCTACCGTGAAATAATTGAAAATTATTGCTGTCAAATATATTGTTGATTAATAACAACAGTATAATTGCTGTAGCACATAATAGGCTCGTGGAAGGTTTAATAATCATATAGCTGCAGCAGCTCTCGAGAAAAAACTTTGGTAAAAACTACTTTTGCAGCAGTTCATCGGCCAGCGATGACGATACTGGATCACCACGATGCGGTTCTACTGAAGAGGAACATGGGTATGAACTTGTAGTATTCTTGAGAGCGCTGTGGCTTGGTGGGGCAGAAAGTACACCATAACTCAGAAATGGGGAGGGCGGGGCCACTTATTTCCCTTAAACATGGCGTAGGATAGGTCATTCGATCAATCGGCTTGAAGCAAATGCCATTTTAATGTGCGCTGAGCAACGTCATGCTTACGATTTTCTCAAAATTAATCTATACACTAGAAGCCCATAGTTAGTACGTTCATATGAAGGAAGCAGCCACGCCCTATCCACTCTCTAGATATTGAGCGTACTACTGAGTGGAGCTGGTTCAGGTCAACTTGTGAAAACCTGCAAATTCCTGTTGCTAAAGTGGCTCACTTGTATATTTTGTAGTTTCACAAGGGCTGACAGGACTCACCAAAGTCGAACCTGTTAGTTAACTTGAACTGGCAAACCGCACTTGCGAATGTGCAAAATGCCCCTTCCAAGCCGAACAGGCCTTCCTCCTTGAGCAGTAGTGACTCCAATGGTATATATAATCCATTGCAGATCGACGACGGCGTCAGATGCTCAACCAACCACATCAGTATTTCCACATTTCCTTTTTCCTGGAACAGCTTTCCCACCCCCAACGACCGTATCCGAACTTTCATCACCGATGGTCATGCACAACTCAATTGATATATCTCCGGCCCAAATTCAGGTACTTCTAACTGCTACAACTCGATTCGTTTAACGTACTGGGTGGGGCTCATTAATCCACGGGCGACGAGAGATGTCTCCTATTATAATATGCCATGATGAAATCTGAGTCGTCGATTGGTTATCCAACGCTCATTAAGAACTTTATGAGTCTGAGCTCAACCATATCAGGTCGACACTAGGAATGAGCTGGAAAACTAAAAATCCCTCAGTTTTTACAGCAAGCCTACCTCTCGTTTCTTGTCGGACAACAACTCAATACAGCAGCAGTGGCAGCGGCAAATCCATTACGTATCCTGGCTCATGATCAAGGTATTACTTTTTTGTGGATTTTGACGTCTATTTACATAAGAATTGCATAAGAACTGGCGGCTTTAAGAGCAAATTGCCTAAGAGGGTGCAGGGGTAGCTTCAGAGAACTCCTTACACAGACAGGGATTGAACTCCTTGTGCAAAACAGGAACTGCCGTGAATGAAGATGAGGATTTCCATCTAAGAGTATTGGGAAAGTACACACTGCAAGGAAAACAGCCGATTTTTTTCCGCACAAAAAAGGTGTCTGCCATCACTGCAATCCCATTTCCTTACCAGGAATCCTTTGAGCTTATCTCCTCCCTACGTGACCTGCCCCAGTTTCTTCTTACGGAGTAAGGGCACTTTTTTATCTTCAAGACCCCACTCTCAGTCAGAGCTGGACTTTCACCTATTATTTTGATCCGATTTGGCGTGAAGTTTGTCTAAGTAGAGATGTTTAACCCTTCAAACACGATCTTCTTGTATTGTCCCAGGTTTACCGCTCTCGCGCTCCAGGAGTCAGTTCCCGAATCGGCTCCTGACTGAGCCAACCAAGCTTTATACCCTCCGGAGACGATAATGTGGTACGAAATTTGAGGAGGAAAAGAACTCTGACTTGTACATGGCTGGCCTCGCAAGTCCTCGTGTAGGCCACTTCACATTAAACACCACTACGGCACTGAATGGAAGTACACCTGATACCCCGATGATGAAGAGGGCGTGGCTGCGAGCTTCATCCGAACATGACCTAGGATCCGTTTCTCGTCGTGAGATATTTCCATTTGGGACAATTGTCGTCCAGTGCTGTGCTGCAAAAGGCAGGAATACAGTTGTCCTAAAAGGGCGAGTCCCGCGAACAGGGCAGTTCAAATGAAGTACACGACCACGCCTTCCTCATTTCCGGGATATGGAGTGTAGAATGCGTACCGCATCCCAAAAAGGATTGATCAGCGGCTAAAGTCATATCTTTTATACTTTCTATAGCACGAATATCGCACTCGTTGGGCTCGGAAATGCCTCGCGTGCAAGCAAATTGTTGACGCCTAAACCCATCCTTTGCTTTTCTGACGTACCGGAGTCAATCCGATGCCACATCTGTGTACAGGGAGTCAGACTACTCCATTGAAGGGTATTAAGCCTTAATCTACCGTACGAAATATTACGATAAGCCCATATTTCGGAGAACACGGTCCCAAACGGTAATTAGCGCCAAAGTGAGAGCTTTGGAAAGCTTCTTAACTAAATGAGCGGCTGATAAGATTACCAATCTCAGATTACTCTAGGAACACCTCCTAATACTACTCTCTCCTGAAACTAACAGAGTGTCTGTGTTGGGGGTCATTCTGCTTCAGGTGGTAATTAGCCTCTATCTACCGTATGAAAATTTTTGGATAAGCCCATATTTCGAAGAACGGTTTTACAAGCAGTAAGTAATACCGGAGGAAGAGCCTTGCAAAACCGAGCTTTTCATCTTGAACGGCTGAAAAGATTAGCACCAATCCCGGACCACCAAGAAGCGCGGATTACTCCTCATTTATCTCGGCACGGCGACAGTAATATTAACAAGTGTTCGTTGAGTAATCCGAGATTGGTACAAATCTTTTCAGCTGCTGAGAAGATTTGCACCAATCTCGTATCGCTCAAGTAACACTTACTAAGATTACTGTCGCCAAGCCAAACTAATAGGGAGCCCATCATAGACCATTCCCGAATGAACAGCGCTGTTGCTTGGCAGATTCGGCATTGTCCTCGAGATCTGATGGGCTCGGGTTAATTTCTTAGTCAGTCAGACAGTTACAGTGCCATAGCGAACGTCTTCTTCGCAGCGGCAGGTGGCTGCGCAGCCACATCATTTAACATTCTACGCAATGTCGTGGCCTATTAGCGTATTCATAACATATGATAGTGGCATAATATATGTGGCTCCTACTTGTTATGCGCGCTGTGTTTCCGGTGGTGAAGAACTGTCTGGGTTAGGGCAGCCAAGACCTTCGCCTGTCCGCTCCCTCACCTCCACTTCCCTCCCGAACACAGCCTGGTCTTGTCCGAGGGCCTGTTAGAAATGGAAGGTGCGCCCGGTGATGGGGTAGGCTTGTTAGTTTTCCGCATCACGCGAAATATTGAGAAAATCTGAAAAAGCAAAAAACCACTAAAGCTAGCGGCGCTATTAGGCTTGGAAGGGGCATTTCGGGTTCCCCATGGATCACTGCTGATACTTCTAGTCCTGCAAACTCTTGCAAAGCCATGTCATACCTCGCGCCTCGTTTTCACTTGACAAGAGTACAGCTCTCATCAAAGTAAGACCTTCAAGTTAATGGAAGTTAGTAAAGAAGTTATAAAGATCTAAAAAGCTCTGACCGCCTAAGCGTATGGCGCCGAAATAGAATATCAAAATTAAAGCAGTTACGGGTTATAGCCGAGAAACACCGGTTTTTTTGTTAGCCAGCCAAAAAGTTTGCTGCTTAGACCTTATGAGTTAGCCGATGTGTTTTGACGCAGATCGCCATCCTAGTCAGGCCTGGACATGGCTCAAAGTCCAGACGTTGAAGACATCTCCCCCCCCCCCTTACACGCAAACGTCTCGAACCCTGCGTTTTAGATGAATTAGTCAGAAGTATAGAAAAACCGATTGGAGAAACGTGCTGGGCGCTTATATGTTCAATAATATTATTATCCTATTGCGAAGCGGCGAAAGGCTTCTTTTTGATACTGAGAATAGGAGAAGGGGGGTGTATCTCTGCAGTTCTGTTCCATCTTTGGTGTTCCATCCATATCTGCACGTGGAGAGGGAATATCTCTTTTACAAGTGAAAGAAAGGCCAGCAAAAAAAAGCGCACGAACCTGCCACCTCGCATTGCTGAGAGGGACCGTCTGTGCTAAAATTCTTGTTATGGATAATAGCTTAGAATTGTACTAGAGCCCATTAAGGACTTTGAAGGATGAGTGATTTCCACATTGTCGCATAATTGCATATTTGAGCAGCGATGTGTATTGCTGTCTGGCTGGCTGTCTGCCGAGGTCTGGTTATAAACCGTACGGCGCGTATATTGTACGGGATACTGTAGCTCCTTGTGATGATTGCCCTGGAATGAAAAGCAACATTGTGTGTTGTATTGGCTGAAGAATAGTCATAGCGATGAAGAGGCTGTCAGACACTGCATTTGAAGAACTGGTTCTAGAGGGTTTGGAATAGGTTTGGGCTTCATTTTAACGACTACTGAGTAAATGGAGTGGATCTTTTCGTCGTCAGTGAACATTCACATTGAATATGTCGAAAGACGTCTTTCTATGTTGCGCGTAATAAAATGATGGGTTCAATGCGCAATAATCATCACTACAAAGCGTTGAGTGGAATCAAAGCGCGTTATGGCCGAAATGTCCCGGCTTAGGCGTCTTTCTCTGCTGCTTCCCTTTTCAGCAAATCGAACACCTCCCACACGAAACGACGAGGGAGCAGAAGTTCACATAAAGCTTACCCCATAGAATTTTCTCCCCAAAGAGGTCGCAAGGGTTTATCTTATCAACTCTGCAGAAGTTAATTTAACTGTGGGCATTTTATCACTGCGTGATAAGAAAGAGCTCTGTCATTCAGAAAGCTGGGAAAATTTAGGAAGATAGTAGGCATCATGGAGGATGGGAAGGGTGGGGGAAGGTCGCACCAAGAGGGGTGGAATTTTGAGGTAAGCGTCGTATTTTGCGAAATTCTCCCTAATGGCAGGATGTGCCCTGACATCGATATCAGTACAGTTACTTTTTTGAGGCTATACTTGTGGGTTTCTCCATTGTTCTGGAAAATAAGCCAAAGATTATCGAAAGAAGCCAAACAATGACCTGATTGTGCCGAAGAAGGTCTGTAGTGAGAAAAAGGAAAATAGGAAAGCACTCATTCTAGCCTGTTTTTACCTAGCTGTTGGAGGTTGCAGAAACCTTGAACTTCACCACTAGCAAAGAGCCCTGTTAGATACGAAAGATAGACCTTGGACAGAGCTATTCATCGGGCACCGAGAGGCTCGTTCGCTTTTGGGCAGGGACATCTGGCGCTTTCCTCTTGCCCGTTTCGAAGCTGCCGCCGCCCACGATGCACTAATGGACTTCCTTGAGAACAGGAAACTACCATGTATCCATACTTGTTGGATTTTTGCTTTCAGTCGTTTTTTCATGACGGTGTGACAGTGCTGGCCAAGTTCCTTCCGAAACTACTTCAGAAGGGCGAGAACTTGTAAACTTCCTAAGAATTCCTGGAAATCACGCTGAACTGAACCCTTATTCCGCCGAGGAGATGTAGTGGCGAGTGGCGCTGCTTACATGCTCGTGTTCAGGGGATCAATCACTGACCGGCTCTGAGCACCATTGCAACCAAGTTCTCTACCTTGCTTAGGACGGTAAATCTCCTCGCGACCAAACTCGCCTGGAAGAGATACATCTACATAGACGGGCTTCCACAAGTTGCTGGTATCTGGTCTCGGTGCTGGCACGTCAATAATCCACTAAAATTCGTATGAAGTTGAATGCCGGGCGCATTCGGAAAAGCGAGTAACCACCGGCGAAAGCTTATACCGTTGCCCTCGACTGATGAACATTTGATTCTTTGCTAGATCACTGCTTCATAAATTGATGTACATTCGCCAAATCAGGTTTCTGAATAGAATCTTGATTTCACAGCAATAAAAGGGTAATTGTTTTGAATAGGCGAGCATTCGTGAGGCCAAAGAAACCAGCCTCATTTCGTAAAGCAAATACAATTCGAACAAATATTGCCTTCCATATAGTTGTCAGCCTTCATCACCAGTGGTAGACATATATTGCCATGATGAAAAAACTGATAGGATCTACAACCGACTAGGAGCGACTAAACCAGTTACGGTGTTGATGTTGCGAGATGGGGAATTGAATCGTTCAAGTCTGATGAGGCGCCCTCATTCGGCTGTCTGATTCCACTTTTTTTTCTGATTCGGCTATTGTGACGGTGCAACGAGTGTTATGAATTCTCATTTTGACGAACCGCGCTTCTTATCAAATGCTTGCCCGAACTATTCCCCTCTGCCCCTCTGGAACCGTCTTAGCGCGTCATAGGGAATGTGCTGAATTGAAGCACTGAGTCAGAATTTTCTCGTGACACTTGGCTTCGCATATGGGTTGCGAAATCCGCATACCCGATTATTCAAAAAGGCAACAGCTTGCTGATCCTGAAAGGATAAGCCGTAATTACGAGACGATTCGGGAGAGAAAATCGCTGTCCTGAGCCATTCCGTGGGACTAATATTAATACTTGGTTAAAGTCCAAATACGAAATGAGCGCTCCGGTAAATCTGGAAGGAAATAATAAGAAATTGTTCATCTATTGTACTTGAAAATTGAGTAAGGTTGAAACCAATTTGCTCAACACAATATGCTCGATCAAGGATTAAGTACGTCTGCTGCGCATCTTGGCTTGAGAGGGGACTTTGCACTTTCGGCTTAATTCCTTTCTCACTTTTGACAGACCTGGAAAGCATCTGCGATACTGGCAAAATTGTTCTCGTTGAGCAGCTTGTCCAAAGGCTTAAGAAGGTCTTCACAACAATGGCTGTACAAGCTCACCTTAGCCTGAGTACCAATATGAATGCACCCATCCAAGCGCGTACTGCGCTACTTGTGCTTACCTGATCTACAATCGAACTTGTCTTTAGAGGCAGCAGCAAAATCAAAAAGAAATAGTTTGGATTAAAGAGAATCAGAACAATCGGATCGGGGGTAAAGTGCTCCAGTGGTGCTGCGCGCTGGAGTCATTTCTTGTTTCTTGAAAGGGGACAGACATGAAAACATGACGTTCCGTGATGGCGTACCGACTGTCACCTCCCCCTAACAACCGTCTTGCCCGGTCTGATTCGGTATCTCATCTCTGAACTTGAGGCGAATGATAAATGAATATGTTAGCAGTCATTTATTTCATTTTATGGCGAGAGCTTGCAGCAGGCGTTGTGTAATCCGTTTCGGCTGTTGGCAGTTTTGCTCATCACAGACGCCATACTCCGGATGCCGGTTTGAGATGTCCGTCAAATCTGTCCGCTTGCCCTTCACAAGAAGCAAAGCCGACCCACGTTCACCGGCCATCAGGTGAGCTATTCTGTCTCAATTAGTCTACAAGTTTGAAAACTGGTTACAAAAGCTGATACCCGACGATTTCCTACGGAATCCTTCTTGTGAGAACTGATGCTGGTAATATGGAGATGCGAAGTACCTGTCATTGTCGCACCCATGATCTCCACAACCACTGAAATCGAGCCCTCTCGTTTAATTCGAGGCCGATTATTCCGTAGCAATTATACGAGGAAAGGCGTACCTCATCGTTACAAGAAACCCATAAAACCCAGGGGTTGTATTTGGGTCGCTGAGGGAGCGGTACGGGTTTCACCTTGGGGGAAATTGTGTAGATTTCCGATCTGTGGGAGTTTTTCAACCGTTCAAACTATGACATCTAAGATAGCGCCAGTACCGCCCGCAATTACGGGGTAGACCTCCACCTTGTGTCTGGTGTGTGTTCTCGCGATGTACAAGTTTAAGATTTTGGAAAGTAAGGATTGAGTGTACAGTCATGGTCTCTGCAACGATAGTGCGTTTGTGACGGAGCTTTGGTACTTGAAGCGCTGGCCAGGCGGCCTCTCACGCAATGAGTATACGCTTTCATCGAATCCGCAACAAGTGCGAGAAAGCGCGCCTGGTTGACTTCAATCCAAGCCCTTTAACTAGCACTATTGGTTTGCCGGGTCATGGCTGTGGTGATGCAGTTGATGGGGGAGGGAAAAGTTTGGGAGGAGGAACTTTGTGGGAGAGCCATGGTGACATCTGCTGTCATACATGCGCGATGCTGGTCGCCTGATTCAGAAGACAGAAACTTTATCTGTATGCCAGCTCTTCGCCTTCATGAATAGAAATGCAAGAGAATCTTTCACTACTCGATGACTCGCCATGACCCCTGCAACCAATTAGGGCGTTGTGATGGCGGCGCGTAATGTGGACGCGGCAGCAGGCGGCATCCATTTATGATTGACATTCTGAGCCCGTCACAATTGGTGGGAAATTCGCCCTGAAGCACTCGCGTTCCTAGGCCGTATCGTTGCTATCGGCCAAATGTCTGCAGAAACAAATGGCCGGCCGAGCTTGACGACGCTGTAGGTCGTATACACTGCGAGTGAGTGGCGCTTGATAGGTTCCTTTGAAAAGCATGGGGCTGCACTCCCTGTGGGCAGGGCACGCCATCGCATTGTGATCATTTCCTGGAAAATACCACCCCTAGTTCTGTCCTCAAATACGACCCCTCCCTCCCATATACCTACACTTCTAGTATTCCAGCTTCCTGCCTTTTCCCATTGTTTGGCAAGAAAATTTCCAAGTCGTTTCAGCCAGAATTTTCCGTCTAGTTGGAAGGGGAGGGAAGTGCGTTCAGGAATTTACCTATCATTTTTCTAACTGGGAGGGAAGTCTCTCAGGATTTAATCTATCATTGTTCAACATGGGAAATAGTAGTTGTACAGATATTTGGCAGTCTCTCACAAGGCGACAGTACGAAACCCACCCCTATTAATACCGTTCCGTGACACAAGAGAAAGCAGACTACAAAAAAATTTTTTACTCAACCAAATACGCTCCCCTGTTGTGTGATCATTTGCAAACGCATGGCGTGCGCCTGCTGTGGGTGAACTCTCGTACTTAGTACATTTGAATGTGCCGTATATGGACGACAGATGTTTTCCCTGTCTGCTGGATTCAATGATTTTTGAAGAGAGGGATTTTACTGAGGCAAACTTTCCACATCCCATGGCGTTACCGTGCTCCCAAGCCAGCTTCTCGCATCAATCTTATGCTACTGATACTGCTAGGCAATAAGAGCTCAAGAGATTGTTTTCAAGAAAAGCTTCATCCATAATGACAGCCTTTCATAACTCTTGATTACTCATTATACATCACAAAAACATGCCAATCAAGACATCATTTCCAATACACAATTTTGATGTATTTTAATGATAAGCCTTTCGTTCTAATCAGACACGTATGTAGAAATGGCTGCATGTTGACATGAAACGACATAAGACGTATATTAAATCAGACTTTTCAGATTTTTATGTTGGAAAAGAAGTTCGAACAGACCAAATATCTAGCCGGATCTGATCGTGCACAATTAGCCCAGGAGTTGAGCATGAGCGAGAGTCAAGTGAAGGTAAGTACTAGTAAAGAATTTCAGCCTTTAATGGTCACAGTACAGGTGAGTTATGAGGGATGAGAAGGAAACCTTCCATGTGTAGATCGCCTTGAGACGCTATTTGGATGGGAGGGGGCATTTTGCACTTTTGTTGTTCATCTATGCTACTTCTGCTTGTTCACGCTAACTACCAGGTCTTACTTCAGTATGACTTGTAAACTATTGTGAAGCTGCCAAATTGGAAGTGAACCACTTTGCCACAGAACTGTACAGGTTTGCACAAGATGACCTGTGCAAACTCCGTTGAGTAGCATTTGGCGCTCCCAGTGACCCGAACTGCGCCACTCTTTCTTCCTTGAACGAAAAGTTCCGGGTTCTTTCAAACCCTTTCTCTGAATAACGTTATTAAATACAGTTCTGGTCAGATACTAGTAGTGAGGGCATATTATTGCAAGGTGAGCACTTCCCAAATTACGACCCCCCCCCTCCCCTTCGAATTTTAAGAGCGGTGCAGCGGTGCACCTAGCGCGCTTGAAACAGTAAAAATCGGCGCATTTTGCATTTATTCAATTTGGTGGAGGCACCAAATGGTACTCGGCGAGCTCGGTAAAGTGCCCCTCCGAAGCCCAATAGCACCTGAAAATCACCAACAAAAAAGCTCTCACCTGGTTGAATACCCCTCTTTCACACGCTCTTTTGAGAAACCCTTGCGACGATGTGGCCTGTTAAGGGTACCGAGGAAGTGAGACTGGGTGCTTATCGCCTAGCAATGGAGGGACGCCTTCGTACAAATTTAGGATTACCGCGATAAGATGAAGACTTTTGCCCATCCCTGGGATCGAACCGAGATGGCCAAACCATTCTCAACTACCGTGATCTTATTCGGATGATCAGTTTTGCGGAAGGAGTAGTTAGCGTAGGAGCGTGGAATAATTTCTATAATCCCTCCTTCATGAAGAAGTGATAAAGAGACTAATTAGATTGAACGCTCAGGGATTTCGAGGGATTAATCTGAGAGTGAAGCCCGCATCATATATGACAGAGCAATTTTCTTTAAAAGCACTCCTCATTTATCGATCGGATAGCCGGGGTTTAATGAGCGTTTGAGAAATAATTTTGCCCTTTATTACAAGCCATTCAACGGTCAGAAAAGGCGAAATCGATTCGAATAGTAACACCAGACACACACAATGATTTGTTGCCCGTTCGCAACATCGACAAAGGCTTCGATGTTTGCGCCGAGTATCGTAAAACCTCAAACCGTTGAGTGAAGAGGCAACCAAAAGAGGTGAAGGTCATAATCGAAACGGTGAATGTTCCTTGAGGACAACGCTAAAGACATCAAGGGACGGTGAGGCCATGGAAATGCTAGGCATATGATTGGGGTACATCAACGTTGTGCGAAAGAAAACGGGGGTTATATTTGGTCGCTGGAAAAGTGGGTCTCATTCGGTCCCACTCTTCGAATTCCCAAACTTGAACAAAAATTGAACAACAGAAAACATCTTTAAGACGCAAGACCCAAAGAAAAATCCCCCCCCCCGCTCACCCCACTCTCTTGATTTCCTTGATCGCTGAGTATTCCCGTATCCAAGATTTTCTCCGAGCGCCTCGTATTCTCCGTCAGAGTGGGGCATTGCTATTTCTAATAATTGATCGTTGCTTACAGCACCTCCCCTTCCCCTGACGTAAAATTTTTGGGGGAAATAAAAGCTTGTAAAAGGGCAGAAGTCAAGCATTCTGGTGAAACGAGGTGAACTAGAAGGAAGAAAAATGCAGAGGAGGTGGGGGGGGCTATATTCATAGGAATTTTCTTTGAATACCGTGCCCTGTGTGTGTGGATTGGCAAATTCTCAATCGTGCTCACATTTGTACGCTTAGGTATCTCAGCGTTTCCAGAGATCTAGGACGATTTCGGGGTGACAAATTTTTTTTTATATCTGGACATGGCAAACATTTTGAGGCTGTGGAAAATATCAGTGTCAGAACCTCCTCAACCTCTTCACCCTCACATATGCGTTATACCACGTTTGCACAGCGGCACTACACGCCGCAACTCTCTCTCATTAAGCTGTCTGAACAACGAGAATTTACCCAAAATTCATTGGCTTCCACATTATCTGAGCCTTCTAGGATGAAAGGGAATCATCTTCCGCGTCTCGCTTTCCTTTATGTAACATCCACCGCCAGCCGTCCTCTCCTCGTCCACGCTCAATTAATGTACTTCATATGAGCCTGTTTGAGATGACTCAATGGATAGTTCTAATGGGAATCCGTAAATGGCCCATTGAATCAAAAGGAACTGGGCGCTGTTTACTGACGGGGGCATTTTGTTTCACATGCTTCCCTTTTCGGTTACGACTCTCGCCATGGTAAAACTTGATGAAAACGCGCTGGTAAATCTGGAAGTATCCGTCTAGCCACACCCTAATCCGAATGACCCCCCGTCGACAAATCTGCGCCAATGGACTGATATATGTCATTAGACTTCCCAATGGGTTAGCCTAGAATTGCTGAAAAGACTGCGATGAATTGACCTGATCTCAACCCTCTCTTCCTTTTTCACTGTGATATTATGGATAGATGGGGGGTGGGGTCCTGGACTGGTGATACCCCGTATAATAAGATCCTTGGGAAGTAATTCTTACTGATATAATGGGTAAGAGGGGGAATCATCATGTGTCGGTAAAGGAAGAATTGGGGACGAGATTGCATCGCGTTCCAACGGCGAACACGGCGAACACCGTTGCTTGTCTGCCAAGTGGTGTTTATAAGGCAGCTCGTGGAGACTGGTTTTCAAGCGTGTGAGAGAACAAGATGATCGGGAAGCTGCTAACCGATGCGCGAAATTTCTGCCTCAGCTGGGATTCGAACCCGGACCTCATGGGATTGATTTCATTTCTTCTTCATTAATTTCGGCCTTTCACCGCGCCAGTGCCCATTGTATTGGCGCCCGCTGCCTTAGGCAGCTGTGACCATGACAAGAATGGAGAAAGGATATGGGGAGATGGGGGATGGAAACGAGCCAAAGATGTATGAAAATATGGACTATCTGAACATTTCAACTCCTCTAAACCGTGACCTTTTCCTGAGTGTCTTCTCTGCATCTCTTATGGTTAGAACCTCACTCATGAGTTTGTACGATTGTAGCCCACCAGTCCCAAAAGCAGGTGCTCACCATTTTACTCTCGTAGATCACCAAAACAGCTTGATGGCATTACTACCACCAACAACCCTTGTGGGATACGAACGAACGACGTTCGAGGCATCATAAATTTGGTATTCATGCTCTGTCCATAATGGCGAATCATACGAGGCGGAGTCAGTCAGCTGGCTACGATTATGCACATTTGCGTGGTGCCCCTCGAGACAAATTGAATTTCGAATTTGGCGCCTCAATGACCGGCAATCGACTACGGTAACTCGAGAGCCGAATCATACTATGCACCTCGCAATCAGCTTTTTTCAGCGCTAAATTGTCGGCCTACTTCAGCAGTCATCCAGTTGCATCGAAAGATAGATACTCCTCTCAACGCAAATCATCAGGGAAATGTTTCCAGTCCCAACATGAGAATCAAGTTTGAAGCAATGTCTTTGAACAGGCAGCTGGGAATAAGAAGCAGTACTACTGCTTCTTTATTAAAGCCTTGTTGGGTAATATGAGACCCCCACTCGTAGCGAAAATAAACTGTCTAGTTGTCGTATAAAAACCGTATCGACTCAGTTTCCCATCGTAAAGCTACCGTACACCGGGTGACTTTTCTGTAAGTCAAGGTTTCGTTAACATCGGAACATGTCAAGGAAATGAACGGATTATTTCCTTCAGCATTAACTGCCCGCCTGCTTCTCCGTCACCGCCTTCAGTGCCACCCCTTTGACCTGACAGTTGAAGTTCGTTCACCTTCTCACCCTTGCTTCCAACCTTCCAGCAGAATCTCGCCGACGGGTGTTTCCTGAACCACTCAACATCATCACACACCAATGCACATACTGTGCGTATGATCTTAGTCGAATGCCAACCCCTTCTCGAGCGGCTCATATATGACCCCTGCGCCTCATATACGTGACATTGCAAGTGATAGAGTCAGTCATAGAAATCCAGGCTCATAGAATCGAGTAGTTTTTCCGCCCAAATATCTTAGAGTGGGCGGAGGCGCTTGTATGTACTAAGCAAGAGGCACGCTTTCATCAACTCGCGTGTCCTGAGTTCAAATCCCTAAGTCACTCCTCCCAGGCCATCCCAGCGCCTTCTACCCCCGGGGATGGTAAGATTGCGTACCCAGATTCTAGTCTGGGAGGATGAGAACACTTGTGTATCGGCTAGTTCCGCACTGTCATTTTATAGGCCACATCGCGTTCAGTAATCCATTACAATTCTGACTGGAAATAGAATGCGTGCCGCATTCCAAAAAAGGATTATTTAACGAATTTCGAGAGAGTTATCCCTTTTAATCGAGGTCGAAGAGGAGTAGGAGAAAAACAGGCCGGGAATTATAACGAAAGCTTAACAGCTATGGCTGATCCCATAAGTTCTGGTTTCAAGCAGCAAGCCGACAATTCATTTGGACCTGAATCAGACCATTAGACCCGGCATCTAACTTCTCAAAAAAATTGTAAAAATACGCATAATATCAAAGCAACGAGACATAAAGCGTTTCAAAATGCAAAACAACAGCCGCTAGCCGGAAGGTTTGAGTCCCAAATCAAGGCCACGCCCATGCGCGTTGTGATCATATCCTAGACAATAACGACCCCCTAATTACAGGCTCAAATACGATCCCTCCCCCTTCCCATGCACCTACCACTTTCCTAGATTTTCCCAACTTCTCACCGCGTAATAACTTTACCCGGTTTTCAGCGCAAGAACTTGTTCTCGTCGGACGAAAGGAGGAGCGAAGGTCGTCAGGAATTCAAACTAATCGGAATGCCATTTCCAATTATCGAAAGAATATTAGTGTTGTATAGATCTTTGGCAGTCCCTCTCCCAACAACGACCAAATACGACCTCCCCTCCCTGGCGGTCAAATACGACCCCCGTTGTGATCATCACAACATGGCGTCCCCTGGTGGTCCCAATGCGAATGTCCCACACATCATCGCGTGACACGCTTTTTTTGCTTAATAATTAAAAATAGCGCTGAACACCCCTCCCACTCCTTCACTGGCGCCTCGAAAACGTGGCGTGGGTTGAGTTAGGACTTCTCTATGAGAGGAAAAACGAGAACGCTAAATATTACAGATTTCATTTCCAGGTGTGGTTCCAAAACCGACGTACGAAATGGCGTAAGAAGGAAGCCGCTGACAACGCTCTCGGTAAACGTCAAGAAGATCTGAAATCACCCAGTGAGCAGATTCAGACCCTGCAGAACATTCCTTTTATCACTTCTCCGAACTGAGCTCAAAACACAGAACAACATTACTGTAACGTGGAATGCCAGTGCTTCCTTTTTGTACCTACCGTTAGCCAGGCCATCGTTGTAGGACCGTCTGAGAGACATTTCTTAGGGGCACCTTTGAGTATACCCCTGGAACTCTGGAATTTGAGCCATGGATTCCAGCGGTTGAACATTATCAATCCATAGAGATTTTGTTTGTGTGATATCTCATATTATAGCTCTTTTATGTTCAATTTTTATGATGACAGCTAGAAAGTTTCGCCTGCAATAACTCATCATGTTCACCCATACATGTTACTTTGCCATTGTCTTGCCCGGCTCTGGGGGTGATCGATTTTGTTTCTCTTCTTCCAAATCATTTTCTGTTGTTTCGCTTCAGAACATCCCCATTTGTGTCCCAATAACTGTCATCAAGCAGCAACAAAGTTGACAGGCCTTTCTGACGTCCCAGTCCATGATCTCCGTTGTTTCTCCATTCGTTTTCGTATTTTTTTCCAAACCTAATTCTAATCATTATATTTGTACACAAACATTATTATACAAAATTTTATCGTGTCTTAGTTCAATTGACGTTACAAAAGAAGGATCGTGTGCTTAATAAATCTCTAAATGACATGTACTCCATCAAGCATTAAGCTTTTGTGTAATTGTTCTATAATATTACGATCACATAGCGCGACCACGATCGAGGGCACTTCACCGCCAAGTGATGGAGCATCCACGGCCGGGTTTGCGCGATTCAATCACTCGCGGGATCAGCTCCAAGCGATGGCGAAGTATGAACGCGCTCTACGTTGATGAAGGGCTGGGCGGGAGAGATAATGGGCGATGACTCGAACCTGCTCTTCTTCTTCATTCACTGAGATAGTAGTCCTATAGGGGCGAATAATTACGTGCGCCATAAAAAGCGTTCAAATTTTATTTTTTGCCAACAAATTTTTAAAGAAATTTATTTTTATATAACAATGGGCGATAACATTCTATAATTACAAAGAATTTTCGAAGTGGCCGCCATCAGCATTGATACAAGCGTTAATTCGTTTCTTCATGGAATCGATGGTGCGGCGCAGGTAGTTAACGTCTAGATTGTTCCAAATTTTGATCAATTCTCTTCGCAAAGTCACCAGATTTGTTACATTTCGACTCCTAGTCTACTTCCATAAATCCTCAGAAAAGTCCAATGGATTCAGATCCGGACTGTTCGCAGGCCACAAATCCTTTGTCAAAAACGAGCCGATTTTGGTCTCCAGGAAGTGAATCGTTGTTTTGGCTCCATGTGGTGCCCAGTTGTGTTGGAAGATAATATTGGCATGTTCTCGCTTCCAGGGCAAGCCACCAACAAGACTTTTTGAGAATCTCTTCTTGGTAGACTTCGTGGCCATTTTTTCACGTTTTTATCGACAAAAATCAAAGGAGTCTTGCCTGAGGCACTGATGCCGCCCCAAACCATTAAACTTGCAGGGAACAGACTTCTTGTGGCAATTTTTCGCTTGCGATCGTTCTTGAGAGCTGGGTTAAGGAGTTGACGATGATTCTGAGAGTTTTTAGCCACTTCAACAGTGAAAACTTTTGTCTTTTTTGTGTCTTTTTCGGCGCACTTTGAAAAATTCGGCGCACGGCGCATTCGGTTGCGGCAATTTCGGCGCACTTTGAAAAATTCTCGCAATTTCTTGCATTTTTCCTTCCGATTTTGCTTTGCTTGATCGGTAAGAACTTGTCCATTAAACAGACGATAACTTCGAAGTCCTAGCTCATTTTTTACAATCATTTGAACAGATCTGCGAGAGTATTTGAGCTGTTTGCCATTCTTGTCAAAACTCGAGATGCAATCTTTTGGTCAATCCTTTTCGTTAATAACTCCACGCATCTGCGTCGGTGTTGACGTCCGTTTTCTTCACTTCTGGGTTTGATTTCGAAACGTGTCCTTCACTTTCGCATGCTTTATCAATCTTCTGGACGGTTTTAGAGGAATTCGAGGCCTCAGCAGAAATCGCTGAAGTTTCTTAATCCCACTTTTTGGGCTACTGTGCAATCGCATCACGACTTGGGCAGGCCTTCGTCATAGTCTGGAAAACAATTTTTTCTCCCTATAAACCAATAATAAGCAACAAATGAATAAAATAAAAAAGAAAAAGTATGCATAAATGCTTTATACAATAATTAAAACGAAGTCAAATGTCACGCGCACGTAATTATTCGCCACCCTGTATATGCTCGGCCATGTCTGCGTTCATACCTCGTCACTCGTCGACTCACTAGCGCGACTTTGACCGACCGCGGTACGCCGCTACAAGGCTGCCACTGCTTATTCAGTCACAGCATCGGAAATTTAACATGATCACTTCTCTAGAAAAGTCGAAACCACTTTTCCATAAAGTATTCGGTTACATCCCGGTGCTCGTTCCCCCTTAAGCCTAGTCCACAACTCCCTGCTACAATATATTTATACTCCTGAAATAGCATGCCCTAACAAGACGTATCCGTTCGTCTTGTACCAAGGTGCATGCAGCGATGAATGTGTGTGACGCCCCCTCATTTCTTCTCTGATATCACCGCTCCCGTGTACTACCCGTTATCTTCTGAAGTTTTCCCGAGTTTTCCAAGAAAATTTCCCAGTTTTTTATTGAAAGCGTCGACACCGATCTTCTTTTTGGCGCATGCGGAGGGGGGAAATAGGGGAGTACACCGAACATGAAATGGGAAAGATTGAGAAAACCCAAAAACCAGAGAAATTTTCTCGCGGCTCGGGAAACTTTTTATAGGAAATCGACTTCTCCCTCCCCCACCTCCAATATGTCCAAGTACGATACCTCTCCAAACGATGCCTAAGAGGGCCCATGCCCCCTCCCGACCTTTTTCCCCCTCCAAGCAGGACAGCGCCTATCACAAATCCGTAAGATCCCAGTTCGAAAAACATTATTCTCCAGGTTCGATCACTGGCAAACTCCATTATTCACAACATCTCTTCTCAAATTTTCAGAGTACTTTAGCAAACCCACCACTTCTTCCCGTTTGTTCGCTTCATATGATTTCGTAGTGTTAATGTACAGATCACAAAACACCATTGCAAGTAATTTTTATGTCACAAGTTATTATATTTATGATAAGTTCTCTAATAAAACATCTAACAATTATCACACTCTCAAAGACTTCAGAATGACACCCGAACCTTAGGAGGTCGGAGATGGGGCACGATAATATCTAATAACACAATCATTAGGACTAGATTACCTATAGCACCCGCTCATAGAAAAGAATGTATGCTTCAGCGGAAAGAACGCGGTTTTCATTAACAGCTAATACTTGACTATCACTACAGTAGTACCACTGACCATCATTATTTATGTCAGATTCCTCACAAAGATTTTCTATTGTAGTAGTCCCATTCTGATAGAACATCGAATCAGCACATGTCGTTCGTGCAAATTCCAGGAAAGCATGAGCCTGAACAACTCATTTTCTGCTTGTTTTTATTGACAACAGGTAGAAAAGGTGACTGAATCGTGTGAAAATTGTTAAATTAATATAAAAAACGCCTCAGTATAGCATCTTGGGAATAATTTTCAACTTCCTAAAGGAAATTCCATATACTCAAAACCCATACGCGACAGGTGCATAACAAGACCGACTAGAGGAAATATCAATTTCCGTGTTTACATATCATGAGAAACCTCCCTCCTACTATGGAATTAGCACTCAAAGCTTCTTGTACGATTACCTGAGAGATGCATTCTTTACATGTGTGAGCTGGGCAGGTCCTGAGACCCAGAAGTACATCATCAAAATAGAAAAGCAAAAATTCAAAAAGATGAGGCAACGAAGTTAGAGGCTTGTGGTGACCTTGTTTCCTAGTATCCGCCCACTATTCGGTATTATACTATTCGGTTCGGACAAACACGCCAGACGCCTTATGTCCAGCCTCAAGCCTAACCGCAGCCACACATGCTAGTTCTCTGTGCCCTCTCACTCATGGAAGGGGGACCACCGTTTTCTACCAGCTCGACTTGGCATCGCGCCATGCCTTGCTAGCTGTACTCGGCTACTTTCTCTGCTGGGTTACAATCACCCAGTGGATACTGTAGGACCCTTGCCAGTGCGATAAAAGTCTCTTGCTTTCGCCAACACCTTTGCAGGAATTTATAGGTCTTCACGGGTATCATCGCCAGCGAAAGCTCCCATCAAGCCGAAAAGCACACAAAATTGCCCTGATCCAAATTTTGAATCTATGAATGTACTTGCAACGACTCTGAAGCTACATTGACACTAACCTGTTTCAATCTATGACGACTCTTAACGTAAGCAATGTAATGACCACCAGATAAACTACCAGAATGAACAACTACTCCATACAACGAGTAAAGCAATCTTTTCTCTCCGGGAGCCAGCCGCTGCAATTATCAAAACAGTTATGATTATGACTCTAAAGCACTGTAGACAACTCAAACCTCCACATTTCTACAACAAAACGGGGCCATGTCAAACATCATCGGGAAAGATACATGACCGCTGAGTTTCCTTGTTGATGTTCTTCCTGAAAAGGCTAGTAATAGTGAACGTAGTAGATAAAGATTTTTTTTACTAGATATCAGTCGATAAGAATTAAGACGCCCAGATATGAATACCAAAAAAAGTATATTTTGAAAATAGGGCCGATTTTTCTCAAAATTGAGGAACCAGTGGACTGACCACCACGAAGACCAAATTTGTAGACAATCTGAATTTGAAGAGAAGCCTGAACAGAGAACAGAGCCTAGTTCGGGGAACGTCAAGCCCATTTTCAGCATGAGTGTCAGCGCAGGAAGAGCCGGACGTCACGTGTCTCCTTTGGTGCAGGTACGGGGGGCTTTTTTGAACCAAATTTATGTTATATTCATACTCGCGGATCCCTTTAGGACAGACTTTGCAAAACTTTCTCCTGGGCACGAACTGATGGGAAATTTAGCTTGACTTCGACTGGTAGACTAGTAAAGGGTGAATAGCACTCTTATAATTTTTCATTACACGCCATCAGAAGGAAGATCCACAACATTCCCTAGAGGACAATTCCTATACGCGAAAAGAATTTCCGCCAACAAGGTTCACGCTAATGATTTCGAGACATCAAGCGCGGAATTTATCGATAAGACCAAGACGGCCTTGAGATAAGAAAAACTATTTTGAAGACAGTCCCCGCGCTCACCCAATTCGTAGGCGTCGTTCCTGGTTCTAGTAGTTTGGTCCACAGTCTTCAACCATGTCCTTCCTTTCGCGACTTCACATTAAGTCAGAAAGGCCTGTGGCTCTCGTAAGTGGCGGTTCTGACGCTTACCAATACTCAAAGGCTATTTTGTCATGAGCCAGCTTTACTGCTTTTCATTTCTATTTAACTGTTAGATGGTATTGGCAGTGGATAATGCGAAAAACGATCAGTGAGTCAGAGGGGGCAGGATATCGCTTTGTTAGCAAGTCCGGAGAAACTCGTCCAGAGAGGCTACCAGGTCCTTACTTATGGCGCGCCTTCTGCGTGTTTTTTTTTGCTATTTTCTCCCCAGTGTCTCCAAGAAAAATAACCACTCACCAGACATTCCCTCCAATTGCTGAAACCTTTTCAGATGTAATGTGAGCACAGCTGGTGGCTCGTAGATAAGATAACGCTTCAATGCGGAAACACGTTTCTTTTGACTGCCAATAGCCTTCAGCTAAAATTAATGACGCTCGGAGATAAAAAGAAATGACGTCTGAGAAAAAAAATTCAAAAAAGGATGCAGTCCGTACCTTCTTGTTCCGAGGAACACAGCAGTTTTCACATTCATAAGCATTTATACCTTGCAGTTGTTCAGCAGCCGTAAATTCAAGAAGACATGATCCTATACTACAAACTCCATCGGTATACTCCTCCGGTGGACCTACCAGAACCTTCTGTAAGAACATACTATACAATACTGATTAGTCGTAAAATTGACGAAAAAAGGACAAAATTCAGATAGCTTACTGTGAAATCCAATCTATTTACACCAGCTGCTAACCGATCAATTTCATCATCAGAGTAGTGCACATCATCGTATGTACAGCATAATTCCGGAGCGGCTACCAAGTCATCTAAAAAAACGTACTATACGTCATGCTGACTCAAGCTTGAGGACATTAAAGGCACACCCCGCGTTCAAAAATGGTGACTTACGCGGCTCAAATACTAATAATGAAATGGCAGATGACCCAAAAGTGAAGAAAAAGCCCTTGTAGTGTGCTGATAGTAGACACGATGAACGCGCCTTTTACGTGCCAAGTGAAAAATGGCGTGATGGACCGAGTTCTCACTGTTGGGTGTTAGCAGCTTCCATTTATCACTGAATCTCCCAGTTCTTGTATGTGAGAGGCTCGCCGAATAACCGCAACAGCCACCAAGCATAAAACGGAGGAGTTGGAGCGTGCGCTGTGTCTGCGGACCACGGCTCTTATCGCGGCTTTCTTCAAGTATTTTTTGAGCTGCAAAAGTAGCACATCTGCCATGCTATTAGGAACCGCACATCAAATGTTTGCAAAGCGTGCCTTTCCCTCACAAGAAGCAACATAGTGTACTATGAAGCTTAGGCTCCATGGCTTCAGGCAGAATAGGCACGTTTATCCAGTTCAATAGGGCGGCACAATTGCTAGGTCGGCGTGCTGACGTGGGTCCGTTCGGTTTATCTCAAGACCTGGAGCGCGTTCATACTTCGCGATCGCGCGATTGGATCGCGAAGTATGAAGTAGCTGGCTGGATCATGCGATCCATTCGAGCGATCCTAACGGCGCCGCGTCGCGAATGTAACGAATACGCTTTCTCAGTTTTGACAAATGCAGACGACTATGGGTCTGCGAAGCAGGAGTCTTCCAGAGGTGAAACGTGCCGCGCGCCGAAATCGCCTTTCGAGCATTGACTTTGGCTCAGCAATTCTATGAGTATGCACGCAGCGTACGTTCGACAGCGTACGTGACACAAAAGTGGAAGAACAAGCCAGAAAAGCCGTCTGTGATGTCCTTATAGAACCGCACGCTGAACTGCGATTTTACGTGCACAAGGTGAAAAAGGCGTGATCGGACGAGTTCTCACTTAGTGGTGTAAGCACATTCCACTATCAACTCAAATCTCACCATTCTTCATGGAGAGGGCTAGTAGCGGAACAACCGCAACACAACGAAACCTTTAAAAATGGAAGTTGGCATTGCGTGGACCATGCCATATTGTCGAGCGCGGCGGCTTCTCATGTGTTTTTGAGCTGCGGAAGTAGCAGATCTACCATGCTTGTAGAAACCGAACATCAAATGTTTGCGAAGCGTGCCTTTCCCTTAGAATTATGACCAGAACATACCTAAATGTTCTAGGCTCAGATTGCTTCACAGCAAAATAGGGCCACGGTTATACAGTTTAGCAGGGACCGCACGATCGCTGGGTGGGCGTGGCTAACGTGGTGTCCGCTCCCTTCCCCAAAACTTAGAGCGCGTTCGTACTTCACGATCGCGCGATTGGATCGCGAAGTGTGAACAACTAACTCGGTGGATCACGCGACCCATTCGAGCGATCCTAACGCGCGATCGCGAAGTACAAACGCTTCTCAGTTTTGACAATGCAGACGACTAGAGGTCGCGAAGCACAGTCTCGCAGAGCAAACGTGGCCGCGCCGCCGTATCGCGGCCTTTCGAGCATACTTTGCCTCAGCATTCTATGAGTATGCCACGCCAGCGTACGTTCAAAAGCGTACGTTCTCGATCGATGCCTACTTTACTATGGCTGGAAAACACTAATTGCGCAAAATGCTGACGCAAGCATGAACCCCACACTTCTTATGTCATCTTCAAAAGCTTCAAGAATTCCACTGAACTCATACAGACTGAGGCCAAATCAGTTTTAGTGGTTCAAAGAAGCAACTGTTGTTGATCTAGCTCTGATTTTAGGAGATTTATGAACAGGATTTGATACCTTCGCGAACACTGTTTTTCATCGATCCTCTTCGCTTTGCCTGACGATTTTTCTGTAAATCCATATAATAACAAAAAACAAACTTAAAATACATCTAAATAAACACGAAATCTCTCCTCAACCAAATTTTCGCACCTTTTTTTCCTCTATGGTTATCATTGACTGCTACTGCTGTACGGCCTTGTCGGAAACGACCATTTCCATTCATCGTAACTGGGATCGATAAGTCCAAAAACTGTAACATTCATAATTGTAACTACTTCTTGTGAATCCATTGAAAAAAAAATCAAAAAAGGGCTGTATATTGAAATGTGAATGGAAATTCTGAATACGCATAAAATAGCCGTATGTTCGATAATCAACATGACAACCATCAATTTTCACACGCAGGGAATGAATATTTCCCCTTTTCAGCTCGTAAATTGTACATGTAGGGGTTGAAGTAGTGTTGTAAGATGGCGGAACGAGCGCTGAGTCGGAGTTCTTTTTTTGCATAAAATTCCAAAAAAAGTGTCTTCCACAGTATTCTTCGCGGTAGGTCTTTGAAGAGCTCAAAGTGAATCAAAACAGGAACCACCCAAGCCACCGGCTCGAAAGTGCAGTTAAACCACCAGAGCAGAACAGATATCCTCCGAATTCGAAATGCATTTTGAGCATCAATCCATTCCTCAGTATAGAGAGGAAATCTACTTAGTTAAAATGAGTGCCGAATTTTTCAGAACTGAAGAGCACAGAGGGCAGAAAGCTAGAGAATAGCGTGTCGTCTCAAAGAAGGATCCGACTCTAACTCGAATTCGAAGTATTTTTTTATAAAAAAGGACGGTCATTCAAAAACACTACAAAAAATTCGACATTCTGCAAAGAATGAGGAGAATAGTATTTTTACCTGTTCATGACGTTCACTGACGTGACCACATTCGGAGCAAAGAATTGTCTGCAGTAGCGTACCACCGAACACCATGTCAAGGAGAGGGCGTCCAGCAGCTTGGAGATAGCTTAGGTGAGTGTAAGAAAATTCACCAAACTTTCAAAAGGTCGCTGTCCTCAGGGCGAGTAAAAATGTCTCACAGAAAGGAATCGTGACGCGTGACAGTTCCTGCTCTTTAAGGAGCAAAAAAAGGGATCTGCACACCAAAAGGCAGGGCAGTCATTATTGAAGCCACAACCAGCCACTATGGTGTTATATGGAATAGGAAATATAAAAATTGACAGCAATAGTGAGAAACCCTTACCTTTTGCAAGTTTCACCGTTTCCGGATCAACATACTTTCTACTTATTTTCGGCGAAACTCCAAGGTAAGCTGCGATACCGTTCTTGTATCGCTCCAACTCCTCACTGCGCAGGCCATCCAGCAAGTATCTGAAGAGATGTATCAAGCTACCAGATCCCAGCACTTTTCACTCGAAAAATTTTGCCGCGTATTTAAAGTGTTCTTCTTTAATGTAATCCAATATTTCGAAAGAAGAAAACAGAATAAGAGAGAACTAGAATATTTCAAAAATTGCGCAGTCCTATGTGTGGAAACAGCCGCTAATCTTTTCATGATTGTTTCAGACCTACTACTTAGATATTAACATTTTTCGCAGGTTTTTCTGAGAAATTAGAATTGGTGCTATTCCAAACGCTTCGTGCTCATCTAGACTTGACGTTCTACCTCGCGTCATATGCCTGCTTACAATCACGTTCGCTGCGGATGAACGAGCAGTTGCGCGATGGCCAGGGTGGTGCCAGACCATTGTTCACCCGTATTCAAGCACTCAAGGGATAAGATTGTATCGTGCCGTTCGTATCAGTCATTTTCCACCAACTGCTGTCGTTGACCCGCTCCAACAACTGGGACAACTGATGTAGACAGCGCCAAACTCATCCCGCCTTACTTCCCGTTTCTTGTAATGTCTTATTGTTTCTGATGCATTTTCTTTGTCATCTAGCTGTACTTACTAAAAAAATAGAAAAATATTCGAGAAATCGCAAAAAGGTCGAAAATTATTCGACAGCTCGCCATAGGCATTAATGCAGCAAGAAAGCAAAAAAGCAAATTCTACCGACACCGAATAAAAAACTACAAACTGAATACCTGAGAAGTTCATGTGCATCTTGCTGCTGATATCCTTTGAAACGAGGAGTCTTGCATGATATTTGGGAGAACACTGGACCCGGAGAAGGCGTAGCGCCACAGTGAAATTCAGCAATGAATCCGCGAACAACAGCATTCAACGGAGTAGCTTCGCAAGGAACGTTTATTGTAGCTGGCTAAAATTTAAGTACAAAAACGAGACGATTTTAGCATACTAGAGCATGCGTTGCATTCAGTCGAAAGATGGTTACCTCCAGTTCGACTTTTTCCTCATTCACAACTACTGTTTGCATTTTCCGGAAGTTAAGACAGGAAACCTTGCCAAAACGTAAGAAATAATAAGTGAGGTGATGAGTGTGCATCATACATTGCATGACACTGTTGAAAAAACAAGTATTTCCCAAGTTGACGAGACCCTGAAACTTTATAAATTTATAAACTTTATAAATTTGAAGGTTCTCCTCAAGGCAGACCCAGCGCTCAGCCAGTTCGTATAATTCCGCAGTCCTACGATACAACTGCAACTTAAGGCTGCCGCAGCTCCCTCGTCACCCACTGTGGACCGCTAAAGTGAGACCCGCTTTGCTCTCTTAGCATAAGACTACTTGGCTAAGGAACGAATTATTCGCACTGCTTGAGCGCGGGGTTTGTCTTTGAGCGCCTTTTCCACAAAATAGTCAATGATTTTTGTTCTAATCAAAAACTCTCTAACTGCAAATACTTTTCCCTCGAAATACCACATTACAAAGCAAATTAAGAGTATTTATTAACTTATTCCATGTAACTAACAGACTTCAGTCTAATTCATAAATATACCTTTGCCGGAATCATATATTCAGAAGAAAAAGTACGTTTTCTTGCAGTTTGTATGGGTTCGGAATGCTTCGAAATAGTTATGGGTACAGGTGTAGAACGAGTAGGGCCAATCTGTCAAAAATAATAAATAGTGGCTTTGAGGGTGAAGAGGACTCTAGTGGATACCTTTATTTCCTGATTCTCTACTACTTCGTCAGAAGGCGACTTGGGATCCGACACTTTGCGATCTATTTTTGAATCAGCTTTGGTTTTTGCGAATGACCTGAACAAATTATTATGAAAGTGATGAGAGCGTTTTTGTACTTTTAAGATAAAAGCATTACCTATATTC